TCTTGAAAATAATGAATCAACAAATCATGATCATCGGAGTACGTGGACATCTTCCTTACGTACATTGTCAAATGACTTCTAGGACACGAATCACCCTTATACCTCTCAAAGTCCGGCACTTTGAACTTCGCTGGGATCTTGACATTCGGAACTAAACAAAGATCGTGCGTACTCTTCCCAAACAAATCCTTCCCTTTCAATGCTCTAAGCTCCTTCTGCATTTCCTGGAACTGATCCTGAAATTCCTCCATTCTGTCAAAAAGACCCAAACTTTCAGCGGGCTCGGCAGGATACACTGGTTCATTCAAGTATGGTACTGAGTGGACCACAGGAGCAACGGTCGTCATAATTGGTTGCGGAAAAGGTGTTACAGATGGGATTACTGGCGGCATGACAGTTGTCTCTGGTTGAGGAAGAGACAATGCAGACTGAAATATAGGTTGGGCGGTAGGCTGATACCCCTCTGGCACAAAGTTGTAAGGCATTCCCCACGGAAAACCTTTCGGCATCTGATATTGAAGCGGAGAGTTGATTTGAGTTGTGGATGCAGGAACTGTAACGTTTTCGGAAACCACTGGAGTTGAAGTCTGAATCTCGGCAGCCGTAGTTGATGGCTGATTCTGAACAGCCACCAAACTTTCCACCAACGCTGTTAACTTTTCCATCTCGGCACGAAGTGTAGCAACTTCCCCACGAAGCTCGTGATTTTCCTGTTCCAAATCTTCCATTTTCTTTTGACGATTGGCCCGAGTGTCGTATCGGTGAGACAGCTTGACAACCTTCGGTGGAAAAAGAACAAAAATGAGACTCTAGAAAACATGTGATGTGGAATGTGAAATGATGCATGATGGCAATACAAATGATGACTCATTTTGAAAGTTTTTCAAGGAACTTTAGTAACTTGGCATACATCAATGATAAAGGAATTTAGAACAACAAAAACTCAATCCGTTAACCGAAAGCGATAAATTACAACTTACAATTTGGAAAAGTAAATTACAATTTTGAGATAACAAATCCACTAATGAGAGCAATAAATTACAACTTGCAACGTGAAACCCATAATAAAGTGATAAATTACATTTTTGAAACACGAAAGCAGTAAATTACAACTTGGAGCATGAAGCCCAAAATAAGACAATAAATTACAACTTCGGAGCATGAAGCCCTTAAGAAAACAATAAATTACAACTCGGAGCATGAAGCCCTTAATAAAACGATAAATTACAATTTCGGAACATGAAGCCCTTTTACATGGTTTTTTCAAAATGACATCAATAGAATAAACTAAAGCTAAAGCTTACTCGGAATCCTCAGATGACGGACCAAATACCAGCTGTAACCGGAGCTTCTTGATCTTTTCTTCGTAAAAGTCTTCCATATCTTTCTTTTCCGCGATCAGTCGATTGACAATTTCCTCTTGTGGACTAGGAACGAGAGCCACGTTTACTGAACATTCCCTTTTTCTCTTCCTTTCACTCGCGTATTTCTTCAACAAGGCATCCTTCTGGCGAAGCTTCTCATCGTGGTCAACGAACCGGCCGTCTTGAATAAGCAACAACTCCTTCTTTTCTTTCAGCTGTCGAGTCAGGACTCGATTCTCGTATTCGGACATATGGTACTTTTCCTTCCAAGCATCCCTTTCGGATTTCATCCTAGCCAGGTTCCCCTGATATTCTCCTACATCTGCGATAGGGATAACAACCGATGATGGTGCGATGGCAGGGAATAACGGTTTCTCAAGTTTATACGGCATCTTGAGAGCATGAGCCCTAGCACGGACCCACTGCAGGTAAGGTTCCAAAGAGACGGCACCTCTATGTCCCAGCATATCTCTCCCTTTCTTGTGAATATGGCGCCAAGCTCCCTCAATCTCCCTCTTAGCAGCCTGATGATCTTGTCCTTCCTGAAGAAAGAAACCACTCACATGGATACTGTTCGGCTTATCTCTCATCGGGTACCCGAACTGACGACGCGCTAGAACAGGGTTGTAGTTGATTCCACCCCTCGTACCAAGGAGAGGTACGTTGGGAAAAGCACCACAGCTGTCGATGATCTCCACGTCATGGTAAACTCGATTGTACCAGTCAATATCGAAATGAGTGAGAGCCATAATCTTTGGCGCCCACCGCGGTTCCTTCTCAAGATCCCAGAAAGCATCGGACCCAGGTAAATGCGAGACGTACCACTGATACAACAACGGCACACAACAGATGATCATCCCTCCTTGATAAGAGTTTCGAAGATGGATAGAGTAATACGTGTCCCCTAGCAGCGTAGGGACCGGATTTCCAATCAGGAAAACTCTGATAGCGTTGACATCCACAAATTTATCAACGTTAGGGAATAAGAAAAGACCATACGCGAGTAGAGCAAACACGTCCTCGAAGGCAACGGTATCCTTTGTATCAGCAAAGTAACGAGCTTTCTTCAACAGAAACTGTGCCGGCAAACCCCGGATTCCTCCTTTCGTAGTCATATTCTCCTCTATCTCTGACTTCTTCAGATGGGTGATGGTTGCTATCTCATGGGACTTAGGCTCCTCTTCTAACCCAGAAAAAGGAACACGGTCGACGATCGGCAAACCAAGAATATAGGAGTACTCCTCTAAAGTAGGCATCAACTGATAATCCGGGAAGGTGAAACACCGGTACAGGGGATCATAGAACTGAACCAAAGTGTTGAGGATGCCTTTCTTCATCTTGCGCTTCATGAGCGGTACGATGGACCCATATTTCTTCTGAAAATCTGTCGGACTCTCTATCTTCGGAATCAAACTCTTCAGTTCTTCAATTTCGGGCTCCTTGAAGCTAAAGCTTCGAGTATTTCTTCTTCCAAATTCCATAATACCCTAAGACGTTTGCAAAAATCAATCCAAAGTTCCTTGAAAAACGAGTTTTTTATAAAAGATGTCGATGAATGTATGAATGAATGATCGTGCAACAGTCACACATAAATTTGCAAACATGGGGTTTAAAGGTTCAACGTTTCAGCATGGAGTCGGGGGTAAAGCCCACCCAAAGGTATGTACTAACGGTTCAAACGCACCTGTAAGACATGGTTCTAAGAGTTCCCAGAGTCTACATTCCTCCTTCGGATATTACCAACGTCTTGATTACTCAATAATTAGCAATATTCTCAAGAGAAACTCGTCCGAGCGTAGCATCGCGTAACAACTACTTCCGAATTACTCCGTTATAGTCTCCGCGCTACACCTAAAAAGGCCAAGATGGGTTAGGGTTCTACGGTCCTCAACTTCTCGGGCTCCTAGGTCGAAAATAATAATGTCTTCCCGATTACTCGGTAAACAGATATTAAGTTCAAGAGGGCCTTCCATTGAGTGGGGGATCTCATGCCTCCTTCTTCGGGATTACTCCCTCAAAGTTAACATGACTATACCGCCCGTCCTATTCCTTAAGTGTTACTTAATCCGGGTGTAGGATTCGTCCTTTGCAAAAAACCCAAACAACCCCAATTTAAACACATAATCAAACAAATCAAATAATAATAAAACAGATAAAACAAACTAGGCTTAACCCACTTAGGGATGGACCAGCAAGAGGTCAATCTGTCCCCAGCAGAGTCGCCAATTCTGTAGCGATAAAAAATGTAGCGGGGTAAATCGGAGATCGAATTATTGATTAATTCGCCTCACAAAAGCAAGAGTCGCCACCGCGCTTTATTGTTTCCAAAGGAAAAGGGAAGAGAGCGAAATAAAACCCTAAATATGCAATGTAACTAAAAATACTAATACAAAGCGTTTTTGAAAAGAGATCGAGAGTTCGGGGGTTGGTTATACAATGGGAAGGTATTAGCACCCAATGCATCTATAGTACTCTATAGGAACCTTTTGAAATATCTGTTTTATTTAAAATCGATTTGTTTGATCGAAAATAAATTGTTTTGGCCGAAAAGGGATACGGACGGGTTTTTGAAGATACGACAACCTAACGTTGAAGTTTTGACTTAAAAGGTGTGAGTTCTGGAGAAATCGGATATTTGGAAAAATTATCCTAAGTTTCAATGAAATGAGGGTATTCGCTCGATCGTTTTTGAGGACATGAAGTCAACAAAAATTAGACAATTCCCTTTGGACTGGCCCAAACAGAATAAACAAGTACAATGAAATAATTGACAGAAAATGATACACAACAATTAAATGTGAACATGCATTTTTATATGATTTTGTTTAATAGGCGAAAAGAAAAAAGTTTAATTGGTTTTCACTTTTTTACGCATTTTTAATGATAAAAGGTAATGAGAATTAATAGAAATATTTTTTTAAGGTTTTATATGTTTTTATTTTTTATGTCTTTTTGGTATTTAATCAAAATGAGGGGAACAAATTAAAGAAAAAATAACATGTTTTTTTAGTTTTCATTTTTTACTTTCACATATTTAGAGGTATTAAATATTTCAAATTAAATAAAACTTATAAATCAAATATCTAATTAAAATAAGGAAGACTAAAGTTATTAAAATAACCTAAACTTAGATTAAATGAGATTAGGGTAAAATATTAAAATTATCTACTTAAAATTATGTTTATTTCTAGGAAAACTAATTAATCTAAATTATATAGTTAGTTAAAAAGAAATAGAATTAATCTAAAGAGCAATACAAAAAAATGGGCTTAGGAAAAAAGAGTTGGGTTAAGGGAAATGGGCCGGGTCGTTGGAAGACCCAGACCCAAGAAAGAAAACACCAGTGCTGTAACGAAATGAAACCCTTGGAACGCTGATGCCAAGGCCGCCGCCGCTGGATCCAAAAAAAAACCCCTCCATCGCCTTTGCATCTCACCTCCAGAACGACAACAACACCACAAATCGAAACCAGAACGCAAGAAGAAAAATGGAAACGCAGGAAAGAAAAGAAGAATCGGTGAAAGGGAGCGGTTCGATGACAGAGATGATGGTGATTTCGCTGTTTATGAAGGAAACGAAGAAAGGCTTGCGCGGAGGAGATTTTGGAAGTCGCGGCGAGTTGCGGTCGAGAAGTAGTTAACGGTAAGCCTCGATTTCTTCTCTTCTCTCTTCTTCAATCCCTAGATGGTACCGATGCATTTTCCAGTCAGATTTGTAGGATTTTGACTCTTTCTCAGATCTTATATACAGAACCATTATCTTCTTATAGCCCTTATGTACTCCATCTTCTATTACAGCTTTGGTCTTACCGGTCTTGTGCCAACGTACATGATCTTCAGCCGAACCATGATGTTGAATCTTTCGACGCTTTCGTTGACCAGTACTATATGCATTCATTGTTCTGTGAAAGAAGTGAACACTACTCCCATCTTTCTTAGCACCTGGGAGATTTTCCGGATGAGTATAGCAAATGCCTTGGTCTCCTTCCAATGTTGGTATGAACTCGTCGATAAACATGTGAGGATTTGTATTACCAACACCATATTTAGCCGCTAAATGGTCTAATAGTTCTACATCAGAAGGATCAAACTTTATACCAAGCGGAAATCCAGGCCACTCACTAGAAACATCACTATTGTCTATACGCCAATGACAGTTGGGACATTCGCGATATGCGCCACAATCCTTAATCTGATCAGCTGAAGAGAGTGTAGTTCTTTTCACTTTCTTTGCAAATCCTTCTATGTCAATAAGCCAGCTCCTAGCCATTATTGATAATCAAGAAACGAATGACTCAGAAAACGCATTCGATAGAGAGAGAGAGAGCGATGAATGAATGAAGTAGAAGATAGAGGAGATTGGGAAATGTTTTAAAAAAAGAACTCAAGTGCAGTGAGTAGAACTTAGGAAGAGATGGCGTGGTGAGGTAGAAGGTTGAGAATGAAGAGGTAAACGTTTTCAATTTTTATTTTTTCACTTCACTTCCTACTCTGGATATTCCATGGTTGTTATTAACGTGGCTACTAATTTGATTTTTTTTTAGGGATTATATTTACCGAATGCAAAACAATGATAAATAGAGATAAATGGTATAATTTAACTGACATGAAAAGAAACTACAAACCAGGTATGTTCCTTCTGAAAATAGTAGGCTTTCTTATTGTCCAGCTGCAACTTCGTTATATTGACGTCAACGTCGTGTTCTTTTTTCCTGAAAATTTCTGGTGTGGCACAATTTTGTGGTTTTGGTTTCTAGTCTATTGTTTAGCAGATAACAGGTTCAGCAGTATGCAGGTTGTGTTTGGAAATGGTTTGTATGGGTTTTGATGTAGGTTCTATGTAGTGATATGCCATGGTTTTGATGGTAGCAGTGGGCTATGTTTTTTGATAGTTTTGTAGATTAAGACTTGCAAAAATGGATTATGGTTTTGGATAGCAGTAGCAGGTTATGTTGAAAAATGCTAAGGTTTTTGCTTGGTAGCAGTAGCAGGTTATATTGAAAAATGCTAAGGTTTTTGCTTGGTAGCAGTAGCAGGTTATGTTGAAAAAATGCTAAGGTTTTTTTGCTTGGTAGCAGTGGCAGGTTATGTTGAAAAAATGCTAAGGTTTTTTTGCTTGGTAGCAGTGGCAGGTTATGTTGAAAAAATGCTAAGGTTTTTTGCTTGGTAGCCTTATATCTTTATGCAGGCTCAGACTTATCCTTTTTGAAGGAGTTCCCTTCTCATATGACCGTTGGTTCTTTGCTCATGGCTCAGGTCTGAATATATTTAATATATTTTCCTGATGTCCTGCATATATGCTGCTTCATATGTTTGACTTTATTCCCAATTCATGCTTAAATCAAAACCTGCAAAAACTAAACCTCTTCTTCTCTCTACCTCAAGTACAGAACTGATATATGAAAATGATATTTTGTACTGCTGTCTGAAAAAGTAATAGGCTGGAATATGATGAAAAAGGGAATATAGGTTGCTTGCATACATTGTTTTAAAATTGCACATGTTTGAAATTGCATATGTTGGAATGGCATTTTCTTTTGTCTTGCATATCTCTCCTTTGCAGGTTAACGTTGGCTTGTTGTTTGTGAACTACACATGCTGTTCATATGTTTTATGCAGCTTTGACCAAAAAATGAGTTTATGCATATTTGAAATATGAAGTGGGTTTTTTTTTGATAAAAATGCAATTGATTTTGAAATGTGCTATTTTTAATTGTGCATTCATTTAAAAATTCCTCTCTTTTTTGTGAACCGGGAGAAATCCCGTGATTTGCAAAAAAGAGTAACTGATTCCGGCCATTACTTTTAATGATGAACATTGAATTTATTTTCTGCATTTTAATTATTTATCCGAATTCTAATTTCTTTCTTTTAATCGTTTTTTTTTTGCAGGTAAAATTTAAATGGGCAGACAAAGAGTATTGGATAGAAGATTAGAATTAGAATTTAGGAAAATAGTTTTATTTTACTTTAAGCATTTATGTAATGGTTATTATAAATACTTTGTACAATAGTATTTAAACAACAATTGTAATAAATAGAATAAAGTGAATAAAAATTCTATTATTTCTCAATTAATTCCTTTTCTTTCCAATTATTTATTTATTGTTTATAATTCCTTAAATCATATAATGATTGAAAAATCAAATCCAATCATTTAAATTCAGAATGACAAACAAATAAATAAACATCATTGACTAATCAACAAATTCAACTATTTAATTCATTATTCGAAAAATTCCAAATTATAATAATTAAAAATAGAATTTTAATTATTTAATCTAAAATGATAAAGAATTAAATAATTATTGTTGGCCAATTAATAAACTCATTCTCAAATGCTTATTTCATTATTCATAAGTCTTTAAATTATATAACAATTGAAAAATAGATTCCAATTATTTAAATTTAAGATAATAAATAATTAATAAACGTCATTTAAATCTTGATCAGTTAATAAATTTAGCGTTCAACAAATAAACAGCTCCCGACTCGAAAAAGTTATGAATTTTTAAACTGCTTTGAAAATTTGATAAAATAGGTCAAAACTCTTGCAATGCGAATGATGCAGATGGAAGACGGTATCTTAGGTCAAAATTTGGGGTACAACAATGGCCACAAGCCAGGGGCATTATATATACCCTCACACCTGTGAGGGCTAAGTATCAAATATTCACCACCTAATACTTTGCTTGTATCTCGTCGTTCCCACTCTTACTTGATCATCAGAGTGCCTTGCAGGTACAACCCTTTTTTTTTCCTCCTCGACTCCACAACCCGACTACAGATCATCCTCTGGAAACTTTACAAGTTCTGATCAACCAGTAATATCAGTGGCGTCATCTGTAGGAAACTGCTCTCCCCATCTTTATTTCCTTGAAACTTAAGATCAAAGCAACTTTTTCAAGATCACTCTCACTAATCATGGCCGATCATGATGATCTTTAAATGTCCGGAAAGACCACTCTTTCCCCTGGTCACAAAACCGATGGAAGTCAGGAACATCCTCACCTCGAGGACAACTTGGGCTTCCGGGACGGATAGACCGTATCTCCGGATTCCACTAACGCCTAGAGCGGCGACGACCAATTCTTGGATGAGGGCCACTCCAAGAATCTCAGCGAGGAACTGCAATAAGTCATGCAACCAGTTCCCATCTCTCTCAACATCGACTCGGCCATAGCAACACCGTTTGCTACTATCAATCAGACCAACACCCTCATCCTACAACAAAATCAAAGGATAGGGGCCTGGGAGAACAAGTGATCAAGATCTCCTCCTTGGAGAACCCGGCAAAGAAACTCCCCTAGTGCATCTCCCCCCAAACGTGGCCCAGCACCTAGAAAGGAGAGGCGCGACATTTCTTTCTTCAAGAAACGTAACCGCACACCTCCTTCCAGAGATCAAGACTTCCCTTCATTCAAGAAGAGGGAAGACAACATGCAAATTGACTGCGCTCGATTGCCTTCTCCCGAGCCAAAGCAGAAACAGAGGAGCCCCTCCCCACGACAAGACCAAGACAATTAAAGGGGAAAAACTATCATTCTCCTTCTCCATCCCTCGTATATAGCGAGGATGACGAGCTCCGTGGCCCACTATCGATGGAGATTATCGAGGCTCTACTCCCAATCTTCCAAGAGAAGTCGCCTACCTTGGGAACCTACGACAGAACAACAGACCCTAACGAGCACATCAAGAACATTGATGCTCTCCTCGACTGACAAGGGGTCAAGGGAGCCATCAAATGCAGACTCTTCCCAACCAATCTTAGGAAGGGGCGATGGCGTGGTACAAGAGCCTCCCCGATGAATCCATCACTTCATGGAAACAGCTCGGGAGGATACTTTTAAGGCATTTCACTGCCTCCCATCGACACCCAAAATCGTAGGCTTCGCTTGAAGCAATCATACAGGGCAAGGACGAATCTCTGCGGGCATATATTGAACGCTTCAACAAGGAAGCAATCTAAGTTCCAAAAATGGACAACATGAAGAAGTACCTCCTCGAGCGCGGGCTATGCCCCCGTAGTGACTTTGCCAAAGCTGTAGGCATAGAGACGCCGACCACGCTCGACTCCCTCCTCCTTAAGGCCCAGGCATACATACAGTACAAGGAGAAGGAAGAGGCCAATAGCGCCAGGGAATCTAGGAACAAAGAGAGTTCCAAGTCCTCAAACAACTACGAGCCCTCAACATCCCGTTGGGGATAGAAAAAACAGGAGGACAAGTCCCGTGATTCAAAAGACTATAGGGGGCCAGCCAATTGTTTCCATGACTACACCCCTCTGACAACGTCAAGGGAGCATATTCTTTCTGAATGCGCCAATTTTGAATTCAAGCAAGCTGGGGTGCGCTTCCCCTGACAAACACTGTCCAAGCAGAGAACCGGCAAGAGCAAGTATTGCAGGTTCTACAAGAGTCACAGGCACAACACGGACGATTGCATTCATCTCAAAGATGAAATTGAAATACTGATCAGAGACGGGCACCTCAAGCAATACAAAAAGAAGGAGGGTGCCCGTGGCGAAGCCCCATAAATAAAAAATGTCGAGGAAGGGAATAAATCCGCCGACCTCGACCCCATTCCGGTCGCCATGAGCATTTCACGGTCGGAAGACTTCTATTATCCTGACATGGAGAATGTCCCTTTGTACTTCTCCTCCCACAGTCCTTGGGAATCCTTCCCTACAGCCATGGTTATCTCCGGTGGAGGATTCAACAAGCACACAGTTGGATCGATGAAAAGGAGATTCGATCAACTCATTGAGGCTAACTCAGATATGGATGCCAAGCTCGATAAATTCTGAGGGGGATCTCATCCCCTCACCTTTTATAGAGAATAATTATCGGGTAAGGCCCTGAACTCGAGCATCCCACTACTCGTGAGAGCTCGAATAGCTAATTTTTACGTACGTCACATTCTGGTCAACCAAGGCAATTCGGTGGACATCATGTACGCCCATCTGTTCACCACCTTGCAGCTGAACGAGAGCCACCTAACCCCCCTACGTGGGATCTGATCTCCAGGGCTTCATTGTAGAAAGCATAAAACCCCTAGAATATGTAGAGCTGATCATCACATTCAGGAGAGGGGTGACGACCCGAGCCATCAAGACCCAATTCTTGGTGGTAGATTATCCGTCTCTCTATCAGTGCATCTTCGAAAGACCCACTCTCACTGAAATCATCGCGGTCCCTTCTATCGTTCACTCAAGATGAAGTACTATACCACCGAAGGCTTGCTCTCCACCCTTCACGGGGACATCCAAGC